TTTTCTTAGTTTATGTAGATTATTAAAGTCATACTCTTGCATCTGCTTTCATGTTTCTTGCAGATGTTTTCATGTGGATGCTGTGAGTACCCATGACAATGCTTTTCTCCCTCCTCCTCTCCCACCTTCCCCCTTTTCTCTTTGGTTCCCTTCAAATTTGTTGCATATACAAGTTAGTCTGCATAAATTTTGTGTAAGAGCAGCATTGAATTATTAAGATATAGCCAAAATATGAAAAAGTGAATCAGTGTTAAGAATCGAAAGTGTATCATACATGTGAAAATGACTAGACAAGGTATTGAATAGAGGTTTCCTTATCAGCACTATTGAGATAATAGAGAGGGTGTAGTCTGAGTTGTCATTTGTACTGGAAAGAGAATTTTGTCAGTGCAGAAACCAGATGCACAACATTATTTATAACTGTGTTGTACATTGGGATTATTTTTTCTCAGAATGTGGTATGTCAGTATTATCCTTTTATGTTTTTGCATATGTTTATTTACCATTATAAATATGATAATGTTTTAAGGAAAACAATTTGGACAAACTTTTTGACTGTCTGTATACCAGTGCTAAATCTTTTGGTCTTGTTAACATATTGATAGGCATATTGTAACAAACTGATGCTAGGAGTGCACCATCTGCTATGTTTTTTTTTTTACTGATTTTGTTTACATGCAGATGGTTCCCAAAGTGCTTAGGCCCAGTTGCCTTGACTTTTCATGGGGAGAATTTTATAGTATTATTACCTTTATTATTATTATAATGTTTTGATAATATTAGTGATGCTACAACTGCATTACTGATGATGATAATATTAATTAAATAATTTTTAGTCTCTGTGAATTTAAGGTTTTGGGTTAACAGATGATATCATGTAGGGTTGACAATGGACTCCTTTGACAAAGTGATGTGAAGTTGTCTCTTTGTAAATGAAATGATAAAATAAAACCACGATGGAGAGTACTTCTTTCCAGTACCAGTGACTTTAAGTCAATGACTACAAGTGATTTGTGTTTATCATTTATTATTATTATTATTATCATTATCATTATTATTATTATTATTATTATTATTATTATTTATTGTTGATATTGTATTATTAAGATTATTATGATTATTATTATGAATGTCATTGTTATTATTATTATTATTATTGTTATTGTTATTATTATTATCATTATCATTATTATTATAATTATTGTTATTATAATTATTGTTATTATAATAGTAATAACAATAAGTATTTTTGTTATTATTATTATTATTATTATTATTATTATTATTATTATTATTATTATTATTATTATTATTATTATTATTATCATTATTATTATCATTATTATTATCATTATTATTATCATTATTATTATCATCATTATTATCATCATTATTATCATCATTATTATCATCATTATTATCATCATTATTATCATCATTATTATCATCATTATTATCATCATTATTATTATCATTATTATTATCATTATTATTATCATTATTATTATTATTATTATTATTATTATGATTATTATTGTTATTATTGTTATTATTGTTATTGTTACTGTCATTGTCATTGTTATTGTTATTATTATTGTCATTATTATTATTATTATTAATTAATTAATTGATTAATATTACTATTATTATTACTTTAACCCATTGCCGCTGGGGATGGCATGTACGTACATGCCATGCCCACTGTGAGTCGACTTGTTCGATTGTTTCTACACATAGATGGCTACACTTGTACTAAGTATCCAATGAGCCAATTACGAGTACTGCCTGTCTCGCCTGTTCACCCTTTTCATTGATTTACGAAAATATTTAACGTTATCCTAATTTGCTGTTAAAAATAACATCATCTATATTTATAGCACTAGTAAAAATATGTTTTTTCCCGCCAATTCAAGGAAAGGTGAAATCAGGACTAGCAGAGCCATCTATGGACAAACATATTTCACAAAAATATAAAAAAATAGTACTGCATTTCCCCCATTTTTTGTTCATTTTCCCCGGCGGCAATGGGTTAAGTATTACTATTAGTAGTAGTAGTAGTGGTAGTATCCTTATTATCGTTGTTGCTGTTATCATTATCATAATGATAATGATAATGATAATGATAATGATAATGATAATGATAATGATAATGATAATGATAATGATAATGATAATAATAATAATAATAATAATAATATGAAAATTATAATAATAATGATAATAATAATAATAATTATTATTATTATTATTATTGTTTTTTATCATGATTGTTATTATTATTATTGTTATTATTATTGTTTTGTTATTATTATTACTATTATTATTATTATTATTATTATTATTATTATTATTATTATTATTATTATTATTATTATTATTGTTTATTTATTTTTTATTATTTTATTTTGTTGTTATTTTGTAGTTTGTATTTGTTATTGTTGTTGTTATTATTATTATTATTATTATTATTATTATTATTATTATTATTATTATTATTATTATTATTATTATTATTATTATTATTATTATTATTGTTTTTATAATTGTTATTGTTATTATTGGTGTTATGGTGGTGGTTATTAAAATTATATATTTATTTATTTATTTATTTATTTGTTTGCTTATTTTTTATAATGAGCATTAACCCTTTCGCGCCGGATGAAAATGAACAAAAACCGGGGAAAATGCTGTGCTCATTTTTTATATTTTTTTGTGAAATGTCTCTACACTAGATTCCTTACTTGATTTCACCTTTCCTTGAATTGGAGGGAAAATTTATCTTTACTAGTGCTATGAATATCGATGGTTATTTTTATTATAAACATTATAATTACTATAATGTTATAAACATTAGTAATAGTAAGATAAGATAATGTAAAATATTTTCGCAAAATAAAGTAAAGGGTAAACGGGCAAGACAGGCAGTACAAGTACAAGTGTAGCCATGTATGTGTGAAAACAATTAAACAAGTAAACTCACATTGGGCATGTCACGTATATGTGACACCCGGCGTGAATGGGTTAAAATTGTGATTATTGCTTTTGTTTTTATAATCATTATTATGATTAGGTTCATAAAGAATGGAATCAACCTTCGGTCAAGTGAGATTTCATCTATTGAGGTTAATGATGGTGTGCGCCTGTTTATTGACGGCTTATCTAGGGATGGATGAGGTACTAGCCTAATGGAATAGGTTTTGCTGAAATGTTACTGGTTTGTGGTGGTCCTTGTTGAAATAAGTCATGTTGTAAATGTTAAGAAGGATCTGTTTAACGAGACATCTAGGGCATATTTGCCTTCTCATGAAAGCAAATATTTGAGCAAATACATTTAGCTATTTACCTGAAAATACTCTTTCATTTTCAAGTGTTCAGATGCACACTTAATGCTTGTCGGCTGGTAATGGGGAGTACAAGAAATGGCAAATGATGATTCACTATCCCATAAGAAAATAGTTTGGCTGGGCTTAATTAGGACCTGTAGTATTGTTGAGATACATAAATGGCAGTGTCTGTAATCCTTTTTGAGATGGACATTGCCGAGCAAAGGTAAGCGCTAGGAAAGTGAACACAGTAGTGTACTCAAGAAAGGCAGCAATGGGGCTGGGTGTGTGTGATACGCCTGTGTGGCAGGGAGGGAAGGGGAGTGTCATCTGTGTGCTCATCCACCTCCTCCGGTTTAACCTCCAGATGACAGCTTATGGAAGAGGAGTTAAAAGTTCTAGGAGAGAATCTTTTGCTTAATTATCTTAATTTAAAGAATTGATCTTTGCTGGTTCTCTTTTCTTTGATTGATGCCCAAGACAACACTGTAGCAAGACAATCAATTTTTTAATGCTTATTTTATATACTGTGCACAATCAGGTAAACTTTCTTTACAGAGTATTCAAGCCCCTTAACCCACTGCCGCCGGGAAAATGAATAAAAAATGTGGAAAATGCTGTGCTCATTTTTATAGTTTTGTGAATCGTCTCTGCACATTGACCTTGTGACCTTACCTGATTTCAGCTTTCCTTGAATTGGCGGAAAAAATGTATTTTTTACTATTGCTATGAATATTATAAACATTATAATTACTATAATGTTATAAACATTAGTAATAGCAAAATAAGATAATGTGAAATATATTCGTAAATTAAAGAAAAGGGTGAACGGGAGAGCCAAACAGTACTCATAATTGGCTCATTGTTGACTTAGTACAAATGTAACCATCTATGTGTAAAAACAATTAAGCAAGTAAACTCACAGTGAGCATGGTTTGCTACCTTTGATTTAATTTGTTTCATTGAAGCCATGTAAGAATTGAATAGCACACAGATAAACTTTTGACTCCACAGTATGCAATTTGTGAGAAGGGATGCATATGATGCTTCCTTGATGTGAAAGCTGGCATGGAGAATTGTCCCTCCCCCTCTGTCTCGTTTATCAGCAATGAAAAAAATTGTGCTTCAGGTGAAAGGTCTTCATGTTAGCAATAATATAGTGATCCTTCAGTTGCATGATGGATGAAATAACAGACAAAAACACAACACAAACATTAGGGTATGAACCTTCAAATTCTAGTGTATGGGAACTTGCATTAGCAAAAGTGAGTAAGATCTCAAAAGCCAAATTAATTTCACTGTAATGCTCTGGTATTTTGGGAACCAAGTAATGCACAAACCATTCACAAAATATTACTGTGTTCATCTAAGCTCTGATATTGTTTTTCTGATTTCACATTTTAGAAAATTATTTTTATTGCAATCAGTGAGGAAAAGCTTTATATTCTTGTTGTCATTAGTGTTAGCGCAAACAAGCAATGTCACTCATTCCTGTGAGATTTTGTAAACTGGCTGTGTATTCTCTCTTGTGTTGTAAGAGTGAGCCATTATCCTCTTGTTATACTCGTGAGCATTAGATATCTAGTAATGATCTTAGCCTAGCCTTCCTCTTTAATAATGGCAAGCAGTTTATTGGGGAATAGCTTTGCAGCGCCTTATTAGCACTTGCTGCCTCACCTTAGACCTTTGTGTCACGTAGGCCTAGGCCTTCTGAAAGTGCTGAAACTATTCTCTTGTTGGCAGTTTCTCCATTACCTTGCAATTCTTCTCCCATCACAAACTTTTGTTCCCTGTAGAGGCCCAGCACATTTTCCTGGATAAGGCATGAGGTAGTTGAAATGTTTCTCTCATGAAAGTCCTCATATCAAAATTCAGAAGGCATGCCATTTTCATCATCCAATTGCTTTATGTGAGTGTAATATGAACTTTCTGATAGTTTGGCGAAAGCATAGCTGCCTTCTCTAACACTGGATTATTCTTGATGATAGAACACAGTTGTGGGCAGACTATTCAGGAGGCTAAAATCAACAACTGCTCTTGCTGTGCCTAATGGCCAACAGTTTCTGTTCAAGTGTCGGCAAACATGTCACTGCTTAGGTTTAGTCAAATAATTTTCATCCATTATTTAAACACCACTTAGTATGCAACACAGGATCATTGGTAACTGACTGA